AAAAAAAATCCTTATCTACAGATTTTTAATTAAACATGCAGCAATGAGGAGTTGCTGCTTAAATGCACTTTATTTAAAGTGTAATTGTCTATTTAGCCTATAAAATTTATTTGTTACATTTTATTTCAGGTTCTAGCGACAAAATAAAATTTAAAACAGACTTTAACAACAATATCATAAAAACCCAATATTTCCAAAACCTTTAAATTGTGTAGGCCGTCCAGGGTAGGATGATAAACTACATCCGCGTCCTGGGTAAGATGATAAACTACGTCCAACAGCAAGGCCTCTGATCAGAAGGTTTTGAGGAGCGTGGAACCACATCTTAATTTTGTTGTTCCCAGGTTCACCCTGATCCGGGGTGGTAGCACCTGTTAGGGTCCCCGCTATGAGCAAATAGTTAACACCCAAACTTGTGCAAAAATAGGTTTTAATACCAGAAATACTTTATAATAAAAAAATTATTACCAACAATAATTTTTGAAGGAAAAATTATTATCAGCAATACTTTCAAAAAAATACCAGTAATACAAACAGGTATACATTCTTTGAAAAACAACTGGAGAATATTTCTAAGTGAGTAATTTTAAAAAAATTTTACGAAAATCAAACCATCCAAGATTGTAACCCTAAATTTGTATTCTCGTTGGGTATCCAACATGTCGTTCTATACTCCAGGCCAAGTCATGGCGCAACTGAGAGCCAGAACTGGAGGCCTATTGAAAAATGTAGGATTTTCAGAAATTTTAGAAGAACATGAAGTCAACCAATTTATGAAATACTTAGAATAACATTTTTATTCACACCTGAGGATAATAGGATGTGTTGAAAGATAAATAAATGAAAATATGTATTTTTGCTATGAACACTGATAATTATTAAACAACACAAAGGGTAATTATGATTTCTGGTAAAAGATATATTGAATCAGAAATTTATATTATTTACAGGTGTCACTGAATCCTTTATTCAATCTATTCCCTGTGAGTGAATAAAGACTTTGGTTTAAATTTACATTACAGTTACTGGGTTTGACAAACAGAACCAAGAAGGCTGGAATACATCAGCCGAAGTGTGTATATAACAATCAATCATCACAGAAATATAGACAAATAAAACAAAATCATTCTAGGAAAGTTTCAAAACTTTTAGAGCTGGTTCTTTTTCTGATCTAGGTGTGCCATGTTTGCAAAAATTTTCAAACTATATTTAAAAAAATAGAAGCATGCTTTTTCTCCATGTTGAAAAATGAAACTCAGAAATAAGCATAAAATGTTATTTAATGATTTATAGCAAACCTTTTCCTTTATTGTTTGGAAAAGGATGAAAAAATAACCATTGACAAGTGTGGTCAGAAGGAACTTTAGTTTTCCACGGTCAATTAAATTGGTATATTTTCCATACTTTTCATAATAAAAATGGGTTTCATATTCACTGGGTTGATTATCATTTCTTGTAATATATCCAGCTATGTACACAAGAGCCATTTTTATTTCATTGAAAGAGATGGTTCTAAATTTTCCAGATTGTCAAATATTTCTGAACCTTCCTCGCAAAGTTTATAATCACAAGATGTACATTGGTGACCTGGATTAACATCAAATTCATCAATATTTACATTTTGATTTAAAAGTAAAGATGTCTGCTTAATATGCAGCTTTTCAATACATTGTTGAACATTTATAAAATAGGTGCCACCTGATCCTTGGCGAAGTTTTAAAAATTTTTCTAATGGATCAGGTGAAAATTGCCCAAGTAGTACATATTTATGACTTGTAGCTAAAAGGTGTCGACATAGACTAACAATTCCATTGCAAATATGATGTATAGCAGTAGCAGTGTTTTGGGATAATTGTTTTTACGATTACCTTGACTGCCAGCCATATTAAGAACCATTTTACCAAATTCAGTGATAAAATCAAGTCGGGTGTCATTTGGAGATTTGATTTCAACATGAGAGGATCATTATGTAATTTATCAATTTGAAGGCATTTAACATTTAAAATTATCCACCATGTCAAAACCTTGTTTATGAAGAGGGCAGTATCATTCTTACCTGCACTTATTTCGGACTGAGTGAGAAGTGCATTATATGTTTTTTCAGAAAACACTCTGAGGCAAGTAGAAACCCGTTGTCTTTCTATTGGCTTTGGAGCAATGGAAATTTAATTTAAATCTGAAAGTTTGACTAGTCTTTCAGATTCAAAATGATATAACTGTTTAAGATGTGTCCATTTTGCAACTCGACTTACTCCATTATCATCAAAGATTAGTTCTCCTGTTTTTTCTGTAAGCCACAAATTGCGAATATTTTTCAACAGATGAACATAATCAAAAAGCAAATGTTTATTATCTTCAGTTAACCAAGTTTTTCAGGAAGTGTAGGATATAATTTTAAAAAAATCTTGATTTACGTGGTTGCCATCACATATAATAGCCTTTACATCAGCTGGTACAGATGTGATGGCTTGGACTGTTAACTCATTTTGTTCAAATAAAAAGGTGGATGTTAATTTTAAAATTGGAATCAATTTTGTAAGAAAATTTGGACCCCCCATTGAGACATATCAACATTATACCAAGTACTGTTTGAGCAAGTACAGATGGATTGTCAACTGATTTACCAAATAGTTGTTTGCCATGATATAGCAACATCTTTTTGATATATACTTCATCATGGAGAATCATGCACCCTTTTTTGACTGGTATTAAGAGTATTAAATATAGATAACAAAAAGATTTTTCATTAAGTTTTGAAACTTTTGACGTCATCCTTCATAATGTTGCTAATGAGAGTAATTGAAAATCATATCTTAATTCATTATACAATGTCCGTGATTTTGCATAGTACCCAAAAGCATGCACAACTATATCTGAGCTGTATTTTATTCCAACTATTTTGGGAGCCATTGCTAAAAATTGTTGACTCAGGATATTTTTCTTGTGATCAAAAGCCATAGAATTTAAATATCGGATGATTTCTTCTAGTTTTGACCAAGTATCAACTGTATTTATATGATTTTTGGACAGGCTGCTAATATAACACTTAACTCCATAATGAAATGTTTCAAAGCGCAAATTGTTATAAATTTTCAACATAAAAAGAGGAATACCATCAATAGATTTTGATAATTGAACAGTTAAAATATTTTCATCCAAAAATGCTAGAACTGGACATATAAATCTTTTTTTGTTGTTAAGCAGACTTTCTTTCAAATTTGTATAATTTTATCTAATTCTAAAAAAAGCATTAAGTTCATCAGCAATTTGATTTCTAACAGTACTGGAGGGTTTTTTTATATTCCTTTGAACAGCTGAGGGTGTTGGTATTTGACTACTTGGCACACCTGGCCATACAGATGGTGGATTTTTTTTTGGACGTATTTTTTCCATTAACTTTTATGGTATCAAAATTTGAAAGCCAATGTTGTTTACTTTAAAACTTTATATTAAATTTAAAAACATTCATAAGTAGCCTTTCCTTTAGCTTGGTTATTTTAATACGCTTTAAACTATATAGATAGGAATATATATAACTTTTTTTTTAACTTAAAGCAAACCATTAAAAGTAAAGTAAAAATAATGCATTTTGTCCTTTAACAACAATATCAGAAAAATATTAAAATAAATATGATAAATAAAATGGTATTATTATACTTGTCTTGTAAAATAAATTTTGTAGTCAAAAGGCGTAAAAAAGGAGACCTTTCTAAAAAAAAATAATTAAAATATTGACATTAACTGCATGTAATAAATTTATTATTGTTATTTTTTTGTTAAATTCTAATAAGTAAAAAAATACTTACAGTTCACCAATTGGTAACTAAGGTAGTAAAAATAATCATTTATTCTTTAACTTCGGAAACAAAAGAGCGAAGAAATTCGTTTGTTTTGTTTGTTTGTTTTTTTTTTTTTACTTTTAATGGAAAGTTGGATAAAGTTTTAATAGAGAAATGTTAATGAATCTTTCTCTATTAAAATTTTATTAAAATTTATTATTCAAACTTAAACTTTTAATAGAAAAATGTTGACTTATGCTAATTTTTTATCATGGTTAAAAACTTGAGAAAATTAAACTTTAATTTCGTTGATGTTATGTTTTCACTCATACTAACAATGTTTTTTTTAGCGATATCAAAAATAAATATCAAATTAAGTAATGACATTGAATTTATGAAAAAAAAACATTTTTAATTCATTTTATAATAAAAATAGTTTTCTTTACGTATTTGAAGAAACTAAATTAAATTCTGTTCAAATTTGTTAAACGTTTTGTTTTGCTTCTTAAAATAACACAAATTACTAAAAAAGAATTGCATAAATAATTCTTTAAACTTTAATCAAAAAATGTTGAACAAACTTTAAGAGGGAAAATGCCAAAAATGAATTAAACTTTAATTTAAAAATGTTAAGGCTTTTTAAACTTAAGTAAATCTTTTTGTGCGAGTAAATTTAAGCACCAAAGTTTACTTTTTACAATTTAAATATAAATAATAATGTATGAACTCAAACTAAAATAATCAAATATACTTACTTCAAAATTCAAATAAATAAGTTAAATGATATTCCAACCAAAGGTAAAATTAAAAGAATCCTTTGAATTTCTCGAGCCAACAACATAAGAGTACACAATACGCAGCAGTTCGCTCAAACTGAAACTAAAACGATCTAATTGTCAGCCGGCCTCCAGTCTACCGAGGTAACGGCGTTATGCAGAGGCCTGTTAATATAGAACGCCATGGTATTCAAGCAAGAAACGGTACAGACGTGGCATCATGCGCAACCGAAAAAAGTTTCTCTTCGGGAAGGATGAAGAAGCTCATTGAGCAATACCAGAAGTGTTTTGCCACTGGGCAGGGGGTGGGGACAATGTCGATAAGTTACATATAAATTTGTTATATTATCGATTAAGAAGCACTTTCAAGATCGATTTTTGAGAATGAATTTTGCCAATAACTTTCCAGCTTATTTCTCGTGTTTCAAAATTATAAAAAAATAAGTAATAGCTACTTCTTCGTCCAATTTTTTTCTTTCAAATCGCGCCCTCCTCTTCCTCGTTCATTCAACATACCTCTTTTTCCTTTTAGTTTTGGGTATGACGATAAACTACGTCCGGCGGCAATGCCTCTGATTTCTTTTGAGGAGCGTGGAACCACCTCCTAATTGCTGTTGTTCACAGGTCCATCTTAACCCTGGGTGTTAGAGTGCCAGCTATGCGAAAATAATGAACACCCCCCCCCAAACAAAAGCAAAACACTATGAAACTTTAAAAATACATTTTTATAGTAAAAATACCAGCAATACATATTTACATTAAAAAAAATTACCCACAATACATTTTATGTGCAGTTGAAGGCATAAAATTGCGTACAAATATTTAGTTGAGGGCATAAAATTATGTTCAAAATATTTAGATTTTGGTATGAAATAACCGATCGATAATCAAACAAGCAATATGTAAAAACTGTTTCATGACATTAATCCATACAATATCCTATAATTTTTTAAAGAAATCAAACTGTATTCCAAAATATAACTTGAACAAAACTACAACATACAACACACATATCACCACCTTCAGTAATTGTCCACACAAACATGTATATGTACAAAAGCTGAGTATCATCTACCATGTATTCAATTGTGAAAGTAGAATAACATATATCCTATTTTTATTACTTATGATCCATAAGTAGTTGGCGTGACGTTAAACAAACAAATCACTCAATTCTTCTTATTATTATTATTATTATTATTATTCCTTCAACTTATCCTCTTCCTCCTCCTTCCACTCCTCCTCCTCCTTCTTCATCTTCTTCTTCTTATTATTATTATTATTCCTTCAACTTATCCTCTTCCTCCTCCTTCTACTCCTCCTCCTCCTTCTTCATCTTCTTCTTATTATTATTATTATTCCTTCAACTTATCCTCTTCCTCCTCCTTCTACTCCTCCTCCTCCTCCTTCTTCATCTTCTTCTTCTTATTATTATTATTCCTTCAACTTATCCTCTTCCTCCTCCTTCTACTCCTCCTCCTCCTCCTTCTTCATCTTCTTCTTCTTCTTCTTATTATTATTCCTTCAACTTATCCTCTTCCTCCTCCTTCTACTCCTCCTCCTCCTCCTTCTTCATCTTCTTCTTCTTCTTCTTATTGTTATTCCTTCAACTTATCCTCTTCCTCCTCCTTCTACTCCTCCTCCTCCTCCTTCTTCATCTTCTTCTTCTTATTATTATTATTATTCCTTCAACTTATCCTCTTCCTCCTCCTTCTTCATCTTCTTATTATTATTATTATTATTCCTTCAACTTATCATCTTCCTCCTCCTTCTACTCCTCCTCCTCCTTCTTCATCTTCTTCTTCTTATTATTATTATTATTATCATTATTCCTTCAACTTATCCTCTTCCTCCTCCTTTTTCTTCACTCGACACACCTCTTCCTCTTTCCTAAATCTTCTTTTTCAACATTTAACTCACTCCTCCTTCCTCATTCAACACACCTTTTCTTCCTCGTAGTTCTTCTCTCTCCGCATTTGATCTTCCCCTTCATTCAACCAGCTTTCAACACACCACTTCTTCCTTCAAATTCTTTTTTTTTTCATTCAACCCTCCTCCTCTTACTTCTTCTTCATTCAACCTCCCTCACCATCCTACTCTTCCTCCTCTTTAGTTCAACACAACTAATTCTTCTTCTTCTTTTTCCTCTCCTTCTTCTTGTTTTCTCCTTCTTCTTTTACATTCAGCACACTCTTTCCTCCTCCTACTACTACTTCTTCATTCAGCACACCTTTTCCTCCTCCTCCTACTACTACTTCTTCATTCAGCACACTCTTTCCTCCTCCTACTACTACTTCTTCATTCAGCACACCTTTTCCACCTCCTACTACTACTTCTTCATTCAGCACACTCTTTTCCTCTCCCCCTACTACTTCTTCATTCAGCACACCTTTTCTCCTCCTCCTACTACTTCTTCATTCAGCACCTCTTTCCTCCTCCTACTACTACATCTTCATTCAGCACACCTTTTCCTCCTACTACTACTACTTCTTCATTCAGCACACCTTTTCCTCCTCCTCCTACTACTTCTTCATTCAGCACTCTTTTTCCTCCTCCTACTACTTCTTCATTCAGCACACTCTTTCCTCCTACTACTACTTCTTCATTCAGCACACCTTTTCCTCCTCCTACTACTACTTCTTCATTCAGCACACCTTTTCCTCCTCCTCCTACTACTTCTTCATTCAGCACACTCTTTCCTCCTACTACTACTACTTCTTCATTCAGCACACTCTTTCCTCCTCCTACTACTACTTCTTCATTCAGCACACTCTTTCCTCCTCCTACTACTACTTCTTCATTCAGCACACCTTTTCCTCCTCCTACTACTACTTCTTCATTCAGCACACCTTTTCCTCCTCCTCCTACTACTTCTTCATTCAGCACACTCTTTCCTCCTCCTACTACTACTTCTTCATTCAGCACACTCTTTTTCCTCCTCCTAC